AGCCTATCGTTGAGGATTCTCGTCCAGGAGGAAGGTTGGGCGGGGGGCATCTGGCTAGTCAAGGATTTCATTTTTTTCAGTTACATGCTTACTGCATTACTATTTCTCGCTCGAAAAAAGCTTCGTATTTTTCGAAGGAATCTTCGATGCACTCTCTAATTTCGAGCGACATCTCCAACATTTTTCTTTGAGCTTCAGTACCAGTTGAGCTTGCGGCCAGGAGGCCTGCAGCCAGGACTGCGCAGTACTGATGCGTCCATTTTTGAATCCTTATTTCTCACTTCCAACTGCTTTAAAAAATTTCCGGTGAATTGCTTTTTTTCTGGCGTTCGATAACTCGTGATGTCACCGGATGGTCATTGGCGGCTATTTGACAGCTGCCACTTCCGTCCTGCTTCCACTTGAACCTGATGTATCGCCTTTCTTCGTCATCAAAATCGATAGTGAAAACATTGCCAATATTTTTATATTTTCAATTACAGTATACGATCTAGCGATGCGTCTATGACTGTATTGTCGTGGTTGGTATTGGTCGGGGCCTTGGGGCCATTACATGCCGACGACCCCGTACCATTGCATATTGGCGGCACATTTCCCATGGAAGCTGGTTCTGGGGGATGGGCCGGTGGCCAGGTTTGGACAATTTTCACATTCTTAAACTTTTTGGACGGGTTTTCTGATGTGAAAATTTCATTTCAGGCTTGCTTACCTGCTGTACAAATGGCTTTGGAGGATGTTAACAATAGACCGGATGTACTGCCCGGTTACGTCCTTCATATGAATACCAGCAATTCTAAGGTTACTTTGTAAACTTAACTCATTCACAACTTTAATTGTGAAGAAGCTTGTCGTGGTACTTTATCATTTTTTTTTGTTTTTTTCTCATAATTCCTCATCGTCATTCATTTTCCTTGAACTGCGGGGTGGTGTAGTGGCAACTGGCGCCGCTGATGCGCACAGTCAAGGGTCAGATTTCGAATCGACTATTGCCCGTGCCATTCGAGCAGTTTATCCCTTGGGGGGGGAGGGCTGGAAACGCGATGTCAGGCTTATGTGGGGCCATGAGAACACTGATTGGTATATCAGCAGATCCCAAAAATTCCTGAGAACCCTCTCGAAAAGGATCGCACGAAGCTGAGATCTTAATATTTTATCTTTTCCTTACCTTTACTTTGGCTACTTTATCCATTTCATTTAATTTCTTGAATTTTACAAGTTACTGAGCCCAGCGAGTAGTAATGAAAAACGTACTTTCTAATAAACCTGCTTACGAGCAGCCGAGCTCCTCAGTCTTGGGTCAGTTTGGCTTGGTGGGGGCATTTTGGTGGTTTCCAACGATCACTTGCAATACGTACTTCCTGTAGAAACCTGTATATTCTTATAAAGCTGCGCAGTAGGACGAGCTGCTTTTACACTTGGCAACAGTCTACAGTTCCCACCAATTTGAGACAGGTAAAGTAAAAAGACAGTCCATGATTGACTTTCCATCAATCATCGAAGTAAAAGGATTAATAGTAGGAGTAACAGTAGGACTAATAGTAAAAGAAATCAGCAAACAAAGAAAATGCCCCCCTCCCCACCCCCAGCCGAATAGCGCCTCAATCTTCTCGGCTAAATGTTCCAAGTCCGGAGATTTCCTTTGTTTTTCTTCACATGTGATTAGTTCCTGACCAGGTCAGCAGATTAGATCCGTCTGAATGGGCATGTACCTAGCAGAGTTTTCTAGTGGGGATTACCTTTTTTGTGGGTCTCTATTTCCTTCCTAGTGCATTTACATTAAAAAAATCATTAGTTCCAACTGAATGATTTCTTTTTGGCAGTATTTAACTTATACTTGAAATTTTAACATTTCCCATGTATACTAGACGTTGTGAGAGTTGTAAGTCACATTTGGCAACAAACGTCATCACATTGGACATTTTGGACATGTTTGTCCCATAACCAAGTGACTTACTTTACTGCATTTTATCGTCGTTCGTTTAGACGATGATTTATTTGATGTGTGCCGTTTATATTCCCACACATGTGATCGACAAGCGGATGTGTGTTTTGAGGTAGTGCAGATAGAGCGGAAACGTGGCTACTTGACGAGCCATTCATGCAAACACACACGCAGGTTCTTTGTATTGAACTAGGACCCCGCAACCTTCTATGCGTACATCGTGGTCGAGAACATCGCCCAATCTTATGGGTTAAAATGTTCCTTGATAAATGACCTGCCCTGAGAACGGAATATCTTCACCACAAAAGGTTATGAATTCTCTAATAATTCTCAAGGAGGTCATTATTCATCATTGATGCGGAATTCCTATCGAAGACGAGCTTCCCATTGGTCATATTGGGCCAGTTTTTCTTGGGGCTCATCGGCTTGATAGGGGCAATTTGCACTTTCGCTAGTTCCCTTTGCCATTTTATTTAACTAACGGGTCTTTTACCAGTTCATTTTAACTGATAGGTCTCACTTTGGCGAAACTTGTAAATAATTGTAGGACTGCGGAATGATAGAAGCGATCCACTTTAGTTAAAATAATTTACAGATCTCCACCTGACCGACTTTTTATAAATGCTCCGCTGAGTAGCATTTGGCGCTCCCACCAAACCGAACTGCGCCTTTTTCTTTGTAAATTTTGCCGGTCCACACGTCAAGCTCGCTATACTCCCCTTCTCGACAGATTTAGGCAGTAGGGGTCGCTTCGCCGGCAAGTTCCACAAAATTCTGTGAAACACCGACCATCTAGACAATGAAGATGACTTTTTAATCCATCAGACGAGGTTTGGAGCTGAATAACGCGAGTTTCTGGCCCTTTAAGTTCAGTGGTAATGCCACTCGCAGTGCCAGTGGAAAATCGCACGCCCTTACAAAAGTTGCACTTTACTAAACCTGCGCTTTTGCTCTAGCACCTAGTCCGGACCTGCGACCCTTCTCGAGTGCCTATCACAAGAAGAGGAGGTGGTTCTCCCTGTGGAGGACACTGTCTAACGGTTTTAATGGTCCAGGGTAGGACACTTCATAGCGATGATGAAAATGACTGCTGTCATCCGCCTCGGTAGGGAACACCCTCCAGTGGGGCCCAAGCCATTTCTGCTCATCTTGATGTAGCTTATCTGCTTGGCGTAGTTTTTTTTCTGGAAGAACACGACGTCCAGGTTCCAAAAGGATTTCGTTCACCGTAGAGGGTTATCTAGTTCTTTCCTAAAGCACTATTTCGCGTCAGTAGGGACGTCAATAAGCCAAATACATCTATGAAAGCTACTCGAGTTCAACACCCTTCCCTTTGGTAGATCCCTTGAAGACGGTGCGCTCCTTGGTGATGCAAAGGTTGGCGTTTTAGCCTTCCAATAGCACATCCTAATTCTACTGGAAACCAGAAGGTGAACGGTGTACGTACGGAGAAACGGCGCTATTTTGATCACTCAGTGGCATTTTGAAAAAAGCAAGTTTCATGGAATATGGGAGGTCAGCTTTCATGGCGCTGTCATGGGCCAAGCAAGTGAAGGTAGTCAGCAAAACTATACCTCTTCTGGTCCAAAACGAGGTTGATGCCCTGAACCTGAAACGTTTTTTTTCTACAAGAAATCATTCCTCGTTTTGGATCAGAAGAGGTATAGTTTTGCTGACTGCCTTCACTTGCTTGGCCCATGACAGCGCCATGAAAGCTGACCTCCCATA